GTGCCCACCGTGGGTAGGTGAACATTTCTCTATGAACTTAATATGCATCATGAATGAATTAAATATGCAACAAAAATATGCAATAAAATGTACATTTAATATAGGTAATTTATGATGCATATTTAGTTAATTCATGATGCTTATTTAGGTAATTTATGAAGCATATTTAGTTAATATGAAATGCATACTTGTTATATTTAAATTAAATATATAATGATGCGTATGTAGTTAATTTATGATGTATATTTAGTTAATTCATGATACATATTTAGTTCTAACGAATCCAGTACCATGCATTTAATATGAACTAAATATGCAAGGGGTATGAATTACACATGTAGTCTTATGAACTAAATATGCACCAATAATATCAACTAAGAATGCACTTGTTATTAACTAAATATGCATATGTGGTGAACTTAATATGCATCATGAATGAACTAAATATGCAGCGAAAATATGCAATAAAATGAAAATTTTATATAGCTAATTTATGAGGCATATTTAGTTAATTTCCGATGCATATTTAGGTAATTTATGAAGCATATTTAATTAATATGAAATGCATACTTGTTATATTTTAAATAAATATATAATGATGCGTATATAGTTAATTTATGATGCATATTTGGTTAATTCATGGTACATATTTAGTTACGAAATGCATATTTAGTTCATGAACAGTGCATACCTAGTTTATTTGAGATCCAATCATAACAATTTATTTGTGTAGATCAATAACTTATATTAATCAATTTAAAATTAAAATTAGTTACATAATAAAATAATTATTTATTAAATTTAATTTAATTGTATAAAATCTATATTTTATTGCATATTTTCGTTGCATATTTAGTTCATTCATGATGCATATTTTGTGAGTAAAATGTGCATATTTAGTACATAAACAGGGCATACATAGTTAATATTATTGGTGCATATTTAGTTCATAAGGATGACATGTGTAATTCATAACCCATGCATATTTTTTTTTCCCAAACGAAGAACATTATATTGAAAAGCTCACAAAGCAGTACATCGGTAATCAAAGGATTACAAGTTCACGGGAAAGAGTAACCACTCCCCCCTCAAAGACCATCAAGGCCTAACAAATAAAAACAACAAAAACAACAAAACCTACTAATCAACTAGAAATTCTACATAACAATGTTTGAGCAAAGCAAAGATAGCATCCCATATACTCGTGGAAGTATTAGCAAGAGGAGATTGCGTTGAAAGAGCACAAGCCACATTAGCATCAGAGATCCTACATACAAAGTCTGTC